TGCTTTGGATGCACAAATGTCTTTTTTATCAACTTCTAAAATTTATTGCAATGAAAATATAAGTTATACTAAAGTTCTTTAGCAATATCATGTAATAATCCTTATAAGATTGAATTTAGTGTAGCTTATCATGCAATAGTAAATTTTACCGGGCTAGAAAAGAAGCAAAATTTAATGTTACACAATCAAGTTCTTTACAACATGAAGAGTATGCAAAGTATATTCCTACAAAAGATGTTAAATCAAAAAATATTTTACCAAATTATGTATCTCCAACTTTTATTTTTGCAAAAAAATGTTAAAAAAATCGGAAATCAGAATCAGAAATCATCGATTGCTTTTTTTTTTTTTGATCTGCAAATTTCACATTTTAGGGCTTAATAATTCTACACAACTGCATGATTGACCAATCAAAACCAATCACATGAGCACATGATCAATCGCTCATAACCGGCCAATCAACATCAATTGCAAATTCAAATTTTATAAAAAATTTTAAGAATTTTTTATAATTAAAAAAAATACAATGACAAATTGCACTATTAATAAAAAAACACAAAGTGACGAACCTAACCCTAACCCTAAGCTATACTAATCATCTAATTATCTAATCTAATCTAAGCTAACTCTTACAACAATACAACAACATATAAGCACCAACGAAGTATCAATACCAAAACCACGGTGGAGCTACAAGCACCGACAACTTAGAGCCAAGAGAAAAGCACCAACAACGAAAAAAACCATGGCGAATTCACAAATACACTAAAAGTCATAGCAAAATCATAAACTCCAACGATACTAAAAACAAGACACACAATCACCAACAACACCAAAAAACTGGTTAATATACTACAAAAAAAAAAAAAAAAAAAGAAAATGAAATTAACACGAAACATCTTCTAATAATGTGCATGACTACCTACTAGGACCACCCAATGAAGAAGAATAAGAGGCCACCCAACTGAAAACAATAACGAAATCACAAGCACTAATAACTTAAAGCCAAGCCGAAATTACAAGCACCAACAATGAAAAAAGCAATGGCAAATCTACAAGTATCAATGATATACTGAAAATTATAATGAAGTCATAAACTTCAATGATACTAAAAACAAGATACAGGCACCAAAAAAACTAGTTAACATACTATAAAAAAGCAAAAAAAAAAAAAAAAGAACTCACAAGACAACTTCGGAAAAATGTATAAAACCATCTACCGGAGAATCATACAGAACTACCCAACAAAAAATGTACAAGACTAACCAACAAAGAAATATACGAGCCCACCAAATGAAGAAACATACAATACAACACACTGGTGAAACGTACAAGAATGCTGTCCACAATGTAGAAGAAATGTATAGCAACTATTTACAAGAAACACACAAGACTACATGCCAAAGAAACCAAGAAGAAAATCCAACAGCAACACAAATAACAACACCAGCGACGAAACTTGAGGTATCACTTATAATGACACCAACAATGACGCAAATGAAAGCAGCTACTAGTAAAAACAAGAAAAAAAAATTAAATCAAAACAAAAAGAAAAACAATTATCTTGATGATCTTGATCTTATTTATATTTATACATATAGGGGTACACGCGTAACGTGCGTGTGGTATTTTTACTACGTGGTACAGCTAGTATCAATCCTAGTTTATATTAGAGTTGCGGGTGAAACTAATTAGTTTCACCAGTTTCACCTGGTGCACCATCGGTGCACCGTTGAAGATTAGCTTCATCTATAACTCTAGTTTTCCATCGGTGCACCAGTTTCACCTGCAACTCTAGTTTGTATATATTAAAAGTATTGTATATCTAAAGTTATATATTTGTTTTTTGGACGGTTTGTTTCATACTTAAAAAAAAACATGGATTCTAATGAAATTTATAGACTCGGTTATAATTATCATAATGGAATCGGAGTTGAAAAATATGAGAAGAAAGCTTTTGAATATTATATGAAAGCTGCTGAATTAGGAAACGCAGTTGCAATTAATGATGTTGGTCTTTGTTATAGACGTGGAAGAAACGGAGTTGAAAAAGATGAGAAGAAAGCTTTTGAATTTTATATGAGAGCTGCTGAGTTAGGAAATACAAATGCGATTTATAATGTTGGTTGTTGTTATGAATATGGAACCGGAGTTGAAAAGGATGAAAAGAAGGCCTTCGAATATTATAAAAAAGTCGCAGATATGGGTTGTGCTGAAGGAATATTTGGAGTCGGCGTTTGCTATGTTTATGGAATTGGAGTCAAAACAAATTATCAAGAAGCATTTAAATATTATATGAAATCTGCAAATATGGGCCATATTCGTGCAATGTGTAGTGTTGGCGCATGTTATCATAATGGAATTGGAGTAGAAACAGACTATAATAAAGCATTTGAATATTTTAAGAAATCTGCTGATATGGGTGATATGGTTAGTATGAATAATGTTGCCGATTGTTATCGTAATGGTATCGGAGTACAGAAAGATATTCAAAGCGCGAATGATTGGTTTAGAAAATATAGAAAACTTTTGAAAACCAATAAAAAAACCAACAAGTCATTTGATATCGATCCGGACCTTAAAAAAGTATTAGAAAATGATAAATATAAATTATCTTGGATCGATTACTGTGAATTCAAAAACATGAGAGAGATTGGAAAAGGCGGTTTTTCAACAGTATATTATGCACTTTGGTTTGATAGAATTAATAATAGGTGGAAACATGTTGCACTCAAAGAGATTCGTGGATCGAGCGATAAAGTTAAAGACTTTGTTAACGAGTTGAAGAATTATTGTGAAATCGGCTATGAGAATCCTTCTTTTTTAGAATGTACTGGTATATCAAAAAATAAGGACTATATTATCGTAATGGGATACGCGCCCAAAGGGTCTTTACGTCAGAATCTTGAACAAGTATCAAAGATGAGTTGAAAGATAAATTGAATATATTGTATTGTGTAGCTTCGGATCTCAAATCAATTCATTCTCAGGAACTAGCTCACGGTGATCTACACACAGGAAACATTTTACAAAGAGAACTAGATAATGCATATGTTACAGATCTTGGTCTTTCAGGAGGAAAAAAAGATGGAAAAATTTACGGAGTTATACCTTATATAGCTCCTGAAGTTCTGCTAGGGCAATCTTATACAAAATCATCGGATATTTACAGTCTTGGGATCATAATGACTGAAATCTCAACTGGGAGAAAAGCTTTTGATGGAATTCCGTTTGATATTAATCTTCAATTAAAAATCATTAATAGAACAAGACCTGAATGTACTCATGCTCCTGAATTTTATGCTGAATTAGCTGATAGTTGCATGGATAACGATCCTGGTAAACGACCAACTGCTACTATAATTGTCGACAAGTTGAGAGACATTGGTTAGATGAGATGAATCAAGATAATGGCGAAATTAAAAATCAAATTTAGAATGCAATAAAATTAAACCAGAAACAGTCGAACCAAAACATTCAAATTATTATTATTCTAGTAAAATAATAAACCAAATTGATAGTCAATTACAATATTTACAATTGTATAATTCTACTGATATTTCTAATTCATAAACCGATATAATTCTGGCAGCGCTAATTCATAATTCTAGATTATTACTGTATTAATTTAACGAACATATTAGGAGAACTTAAGCCCTGACAACGGACAAAAAAATTTTCAGTATGGGTTTCGTATTGGTTCTAGGGTGGTGTAAAATAAGTTATTTGGTGATATATAGTGTTTAAATTTAAATTTTAGATTTAGAATTAATTCACGGGATATAACATTGAAAATTTGATGAAATTACGAAGAGGTGCTCCTAAACAAATCCCATTTTCCTATAAAATTTTCTTTAAAGAAATTAAAACTTCATAATTTAAAATATTTTATTATCTATGCACTTTACAAATTCTTTTTGCTGGTAAATTACAAATAATCAAGAATGAAATTTAAACCAGGATAATAAATAATAAATACTTCAACCAAATATACCTCATTTTTAAAAGACAGGACTTTTTGAGCTTGTATTTACAAAATTCTAATAACTAACAATTCGTGCTCCACGAATATCTTAAAATTTTTGGTAACACCACTACATAGCTAATTTTTTAATTTATAAAATATGGTGTAAAGACTTTCAAAATGTAACTTCTCACGGAATTTCGCGAAAAACAAATGTATTTCCTTGTAGCCTTGTTTAAGACCTATAAAGTAATGTATTCTATTTTATGAAATTTCAAATACAGCAAACCTTTATAGTCACTTCCTATATAAGCACATTTCTCTATAAACATATTTTTTAAAAAACTAACTATTATTAAATATAATAAATTTGACCTCTAGAACTAGCACACTTCTCGATAATCATACGTTTTGTATCCCAAGAGTGTGAATATAGAGAGGCTTGGCTGTATTCGTTGAGGGGATGCATTTTTTTTTTTAAAAAAAAACAGCAGAAATTCTCGAAGACTAATATCAGCAAAGTATAGTTAATTGTCAGATTCCCGAAATTTCTAACCTTAAATTACTTAAAGATTTGATACAAACCGTACTTAATTTTCTTAATCTTGTTCAGGATCAATAAGAATATCACTTCTACCACCACCAGCAACAATCTTTACTTTCGTACTAATATCAAAAGGATTTCCATTATATGCCACAAAATTTGCAATACTGCCTCTAAGCAACCCATTTCTCATCTTTAGGCCGAGGATTTCTTTCAAGTTCCATGTAATAAATCCAATAGCATCTTTTTGTGAAATCAATCCTTTGGAATTTCGTGATACCCAACCAGCATCCCAAATTAAATCTCTTTCCAAGCCAAATCCTAATAAATACGACCTTCTTCCTTCTGAAAGTAAATCCACACCTATTCCTATCTTAACATTGTTTTCGTAAAGTATATCAATTCCAGTTTTATTGGTAATAGGAGCACCTGTTAATACGTGTTGAGCTGTCCATAACCTTGGAGTAGGTCTTGATGGGTTAAGTATTACTGGAATTTCATTCTCGGCCAATTCGATCGCAAGCATGTGTGCTTCAGCACCACCTGCAATAACAAGCTTTAAATTTCCCCCAAGATTTTTAATATGAATTTTCAATTTAATTAAAGTAGCAATTTCATCTTTACTATCAACATATACTATTAACGGAATATCACCGCGTGCAACGCGACCGATGATATTTTGTTGCGCAAGATTTTTTATCAATGTTCTTCTGATAAGAGAAATCTGACCTGAAACTGTTGGTATACGATCTTTAATTGAAAATAAAGTCTTAATATAAGTAAATAAAATGAATTTGTGATTACTAATATGATTATATATTACCATCTTTGTATGGAGTGCCTATTTTAGCATGCAATGCAACATTTTCGCTAATTATTGGTTCATTATTAAAAACTATATAAAATAAAGTATATTTTCTTAGTTCTGCTGATATTAAATAATATACGTTTTCAAAAAGGATATCAATGAAATATCTTACTAGAACGAGCACCGGTTTTAAATGCTATAGAAACCCCTGTAATCGCGCTTTTTGAAGAAAGAGGTGCAGTGACTGCTGTAAGTACTCCAGCTTTATATGCTGCTTCTAAATGCTTTCCACCAAATTTTAATCCATCTACTGCATATATAATATTTTCAACATCATTTGGATTGTTTATAGGATCCACTTGCCCATCACTTGCATAGGATTCTACTTCGATCTCTGCTAATCCTAAAGCAGGACCAAAAGCAATAATCCCCTTTAATTTTGAATAGACTTAGAAATTTATATGCGTACTTAATATTCAAAACAATAATGCTTAAAAAAAACTTACCGGTAATACATGGCCACCATTTAAATCTATTATTTCGTAGGATGAAAGATTACTTGGTATTGTGCAATTAATACCAATACATTCAATAATACCGTCTTTAACTATGATACTGATATTCCCTTCTACTGAAGAATATGAGTGGTTTTTATCAACATAAATTCTGTCAATATTTTTTAGTATAACTGAGGAAGTGGTTCGTGATTTAACAGGCTTCCTGGCAAAATCGGATTTGGGTATATTATCTGATAAAGATTGTTTTGATGTTTCATTGCTAAGCACGCTCAAAGAAGTGTTAAATTGAGGAATTCCATCAATATATACTTCTAATGGTGTTGCGCCTAATGAAAGGGGATGAGAATCCCAAACCTAATAAAAAATAATTATAAATAAATAAATAAATATATTTATATGGCATTTATCAGACAATGAATGCATTGCATTACCACAACATCAGCATCATATCCTAAGGAAATTTGACCGATTCGATGACCAAGACCAAGTGCCTTTGCAGGCACTGATGTAATGGCAGCAAGAGTTTGATTCTCATCAAGGCCATAATGATAAGCTTTGGCAGCTTGAAATGCCAAATTTTGCTATAATTTACTACTCTTGATTAGATTAAAATTTTATATCGTTTAAAAACATTTAAAAACAGCTCACCGCATTTGTTATAGGATGATCTGATTTCAAAGCTACAGGAATTTGTGCATCTACAAAAATTTTTGGAGCTTTCGTACTAGCTTCAATTGCTTCCTTTTTATGCCCATAAAGATCGGGAAATATTGCAACAGTGATATTATTTTTTACGCGTTTTTTAATAATCCCAGTAATCTTATAAGCATTTGTCACATGATGTAAGGCTGTAATAGTAAAATTAAATTCCAAGGAAATTCGAATCATTGTTTCTGTGTCATAAGACTAAATAATATTTTATATTAGAATTTTAAAAATATGCAAGTATATTAGATAAAAATTTTCTTAAATTAAACCTCATGACAGTGAACATTTAATTTCGCATCTCCTCTTAATAGTGCTACCAAACTTTCGAATTGAAGGTCTTCCGGAAAATATGAGTTCAATTGTTCTCCATTACTTGATTTTGCTGCAGCACTACACCAATCATCTTGCTTCTGTTTCAATGCTTGTGCCTCAGCAAACATTTTACGGAAGAGCCATGCTTCACCTAATCGTGTAGTGGGGATTTGTTTAAGAGATTTATACAACATCTTTATCATACAAGAAATTGTATAATCAAAATATAATTATTAAAATACAACGGTGATAAAAATCGAAAAATATTTGCGCATACCTTTGGATTTTCACCACAAGCCATTTTTAACCAACGCCAGGATCTTTCCTTCTTTGTATCAATGTTTGCATTAATTCCCATATCGTCTACTGAAAGGGTATCAACTGGTCTCATCTTGATAACGTAACCTTCGCCACCCATCAAATTTGAACTACCAGGTATAACTATTTTAAATGTAGGCAATTAGCAAATCGCAGTTATTAACAAATATATAGTTTGTATATGAAATTTGATCCAGCTTACTTAACGAAGTTGTAATGCCACCCGATGCGATTATTCGAATTTCTGAAACGATATTCAAACAATAAGTTTAAATACTATAGATGCAATTGTACTATACATAGGAGATTTACTCAGATAATTTGTTTCTATTTACTAACGTGGATCACTCGGGTTGATTGCATCCTGCGCACGAACCTGGATTTAAATAATGAATTTGGAAAAAGATATTATTGGAGACAAATTTTTATTCAAAAAAATTGATATATACGTAAAATATTATAAAACAATCTTTAAAAAAAAATTATTCAATACAAACATAAGGCGTAAGCGGATTGGTAATTTCATTAGAATCATCAGTAGCAGTTAAAGATGGCCAAGTTGTGACAGCAGCATGACTATAAATATATTTTCGGTTATGAATATACATAGATCAATGAAGATAAACCATCAGACTAATTACAGAAATTTCCAATTTTTACCTGTGCATATCAACGAGTCCAGGAGTAATGTATTTCTTCTTAACATCAATTACAATAGCTTCATTATCATCAGAAAGGTTCTGACCGATAGCATGAATTAATCCGTTTTTCAAAATGATATCACCTAAAATCTTTTCTCCTTTTCCATTTAAAATAATTCCGTTTTTGAAAACAATTGTTTTTGTTCCTGGAACGAACCTAGGATTACTTGTTCGTATATTAGTATCCTCATTATTAGGTTTATTACTTTTTATCATGTTACATTTAATAACGCCATTTCTATACGCTTCTTCAGATATTCCGATGAAATGATTATATTTATAAGGAGCATAAGGAGCAATGCGTAAATCATAAAATATAAATAAAGTAATGAATGCCCCAATAAATGAAGTTATTAAAAGAAATTTCTTTAATTTCAATATAGATGGCTTGAAATTAATGAAATTTTGGATGTATCCATTTACTTGGATATATTTTTTAGAGCGTTCTAGCATCTTTTTAGCCAAGAATAGAATCATATGTATACATATGCAAAGTTCTATTTATTATAATCTTTTTTTTTTTTTTTTTGCCTACATATTGTAGGTCGTACGCTAGCTTTCTTAGGTATTAGTTTCGTTTTCCGCCACATTTCCTTTTTTGACTAAAACAAAAAAAATTTTAAGTTGATTTGAATTTACAGTACGTACGTGTGTGTTAAAAATACATTGATTCATGTGATTATGTTTATCGCTTACGTATCGGTACAATATTGGCTAAGCCTTATAACATGTTTTTTTGATTTGTCTCACGCCACATTTTTTTTTTATAAAGTTTTACGTATTTGTTTGCACTATCTGACCTTCGTTACGCAGTTCTCCTTTCTTATAAAAAGCCGTCTAGATAATGGCGAAATTAAATTTAAGAACATAGTCTTTTCGTTATTTGAATTTACCTTATTTTAATCACAAATATTGTCAATGAGACTATTCCTGCATTATGTTTATCCTTTTCAACTCCAATTCTACCTTTATAATGGGATAATCTCTTATGTTCATCCTTTTCAACTCCAATTCTGCCTCTAGAATGGAATGGAGGTTTTTTAATTTAAAGATAAATATTAAGTGGGGTTCATACTTTTGATATTTGTGGTCCTGCTGGTAAAGCTAATGAAAAAACATACCACGTTGAAAAAGAATGGGTTTTTATCTCTTATACGTTATTGGCATGGTACTTACGAATTTAATGTAATGCCATTCGGGCTCTGCAATGCCCCATCCACTTTTCAACGTTTGAACGTTAAGTCAAGTAGTATAGCTAACTACCCAAAAGTTACTATATTACAGTTTGGCGACGACGACATAGCTGTGAGTACTTATATAAAATGTATGAGCCATAGCTATTTCCATGCCTGATCGCTGATCGATGGAAATAGTATAGCACGATTAGTTCGGCAGAACTATCAGAATGACGTTCGGCTCCGACAACAGGACAGGGCTGTGAGTACCTAAATATATGAGCCAGGGCTGTAAGTACTTAAATGTATGAGCCAGAGTTACGAAAATACGAGGCTATGTTAGAAGAAGAGTCGGCAAGTGAAGAGGATAGTAGTAGTTTTCCGATGGCGTTAGAATATGAGGCTGTGGGTACCAATCGTATGAGCCAGGGCTGTGGGTACTCAATCGTATGAGTCATAGCTATTTCCATGTCTGAACGCTGGTCGATTTAAATAGTATTTAAAATTGCTAAATTAAAAACATTTTTAAATACATTCGCCCGCACTTTTTTCGTCCTTGGCAGCTATCAACCACTTTTCTTCATTTCTTCGGATTCCCTATGATCTCCGATTTCGATTCTCCGTTAGTTAAGCTTTTTAATGAAATTTATCCTTCGTTTACTCGATTTTTCGCATCTTATCACCTCTTTATTTCATGTTTATCTTTCTTCTTGTATGATCTGGAGGCCTAATTTGGACGTTGCCTAACGTTGCAATTTCTTTTTTAGGAGTTGGGTTAATGGAGACAAAGCGAAAGCATTTAGTTGAGGATATGAACGAATAAACTTTTTTTTTTTTGTAATAATTTTTTAATAAAACTCCTTTCTTATAGCGATATCCCGATACTCATCTCCCTTTCGACTTCGATTCCTTTTTTATAACTTTTTTTTAGTAAAAAAACCTTCATACCATTTTATTATAAATTATCATGTATATTGGCAAATTTTAATAAAAACAATCATAGTTTTACAACATTCTTCTTAATATTTAAATAATAATAAAATATTGCAAATTTTAAAATAATCAAAATTACATTAACTTAAGTATCAAAAGCAAAAATTGATAAAAGATCCTGTGAATAACTTTTCGATCAAATTGTTATACTATAGTAAAATTTAAAACCCATACATATAATATGTAAATATCTTTTTATTCTATTCAAAAAAAAAAAAAAATCCAGTAGTATGACGATTATTAAAATCATTAGTTTTTTACTTAAACAATTTCGAATAAAATTTTGAATTTTATTTTCCAAATTTGACTAAATAATAATACAATCAAGATTCCCAAATACTCTTTTTTTTTTTAATAATGAAGTGAAGATACTTATCTGTTAAGCAGGATGAAACAAGGTATCATTTATCATAAATTAAAAAAAATTAAAGGCACGCTCATTTATCCTAACTAATGCTTTTTCTGGATCATCTATTCCAGCATAACCTCACATATTTCTCTGTTTACATTTACTAAAGTATATGCTTAATTAGAAGAAAGTAATTGCTTGATACTTTCATGAGGATTTTCTACGAATGGAGTTTGTAATAAATTCAACAGTTGTTTCAGATGACAAATTCTCAAGCTCATCTGAGATTTCATTTAATTTTGGACGTTGTTGTGGTTCAGAAGCCCAACATTGCTTATAAAGATTAGAATAATTTAAGGGCGTATTATCGATAGTGTTTTCTCTTTTATTATTCAAAATTTCTAGGATTATAGCCATTTCAGGAATATTATGAAAAGGTGGAATTCCGCTTGTAAGTTCCCAAAGCAAAACACCTAGGCTGTAAATATCAGATTTCATATCTAATTTACTTCCACTTTTAAGATACTGTGGGTCAACGTATGCTGGTACACCCATCATAACTGAGCTTGAAGCAGTAGTATCATTTAATTGTTTTGATATTCCAAAGTCTGAAATTAAAGCTTTACCATCATTTATTAAAATATTATTAGAATGCTAAGGAATTTATATACGATATATTTAGAATTATGATTAATCGGAAAAATATTCATAAATATTTAACAGAAAATAGAACTTACTAGATCTCGATGAATAATACCATTGTTGTGTAAGTAAGTTAATCCGAGAGTAATTTCCTTGGCAATCTTGATAAGTTCAGTCCACGAAATTTTATAAATATCTTCTGCAGATTTTTTTTTCAAATATTCTCGCAGGCTGCCACCATTAGCAAATTCTAATACCAACATAAAATTGCCCATTTGTGTACCTATAGTTATTAATTATATGTAATTGAGATTACGTTTTTAAGAAGATTTAAAATTTTTTTAATACTGTAAAACGTTTATCGTACATCTTGAAATTCCAAAAAATTTTATGACGTTGGAATGATCAACTCCATAATGAAGTTTAAGCTATATATACGCAGTTATACCATTATAATATAGTAATCATTAAAAATTTAAAAAGTTCAATGCAAATAATAAATAAAATATTACCTCTCGTTTAACTCTTTTTAATGCCTTTTCATCAAAACTTAGATTATTGTTTAGACTCTTTAATGCATGTTTTTCTTGTTTAAAACTTGCAGAATATACAACTGCACATCCTCCTCGTCCAATAATTTCATGTTCTTTATATTGATTGTAATCAAAACTTTTTATACCAATTTTTTTTAAATCCTTTTCTAACTGTTCTGAAAACTCAATCACTATAAATCATTATTAATAATAATTTTAAAACATTCTCAATATTAAAAAAACAAAAATAATAATAAGCAAATAAATAAATGAATGTTAAATCGTTGTAAAAACTAGAAAACTTACGTGCTTTTTCAGGTTTTGACATAATCTGAATCTATTAGAAAAGAAGGAAATGAAAATGAATAAAAAGAAAAGGAATAATCGGAATACATTTTCACGTACTACGTATTACATGAATTTTATATCAGATATGGTAACTGAACAATCAAATTTAGAGATTGGCGAATTGTAAGTTGCACAAGTGTTATAAACGTAAATTATAACACCGTACCGTCTAATATTACGCACGCATGCACGCATGCACGCATACACGTACTGTACGTACGTACGTAGCATGTTATTCCTTTCTATTATATCATAAGCATTAGAATGATATACAGGTTATTTCTTTTATAATGGGCTAAATAGAAATTTTCTTGATAAAACGTTTAGCGCACAAAATAAATATAAAAAATTTTTAACTGCAGGATAGTAATTAGACTAATAAAATAAACATTTTCAAACTATACTGTAGTAATACATGACGCTTACTAATTTTACTAGTAATTTTCTATCTTGGTTTTAAAATTTGTTTCTTGTCAGAATAATTTCATCCGAATTTTTAATATACGGTATTATTTTTAAAATTTTACTGAATTAGACGCAAACCCACATAAATTAATTTTATTGACAAAAAGAACGGAGTGTTATACTAAACTAATAAGGAATTGGCCTTGGCTTCATTTACTTTGTACTGAATATAATCATAAAAGTAAATTTAAAGTATAGTAATTATCTAAATTTAACTTTAAAGCCACTCAACAATTTCCTTCACGGTGGAAATTTTAGCAAATCCATATCCCAAATTCAATATAGTGGCTTTAAATAAAATATAATTTATTTATTTTTTTTAAAAAAAAGTAAAATCAATTGTTTACTATCAGAAAACTCAATCTACCTTGTTATAGTCCTGATTAAAGCCACCTGAAAATTGCATTAATATTATGCGTGTTCAAATGAGCTCTCTCTCTTTTATATAATATGCAATAATTATATCACACTCACTTCTTGCAGTTGTCTCACAACATAAATTTGTTAAAACACCAGATATGATGAGAGTTTCAATACCAAGAGAGGTAAGCAAGGAATTTAGCTCAGTCTTATAGAAAGCATCATAACGGGTCTTGCTCTTGATAACAAAGTCAAGAATATTTAGATGTCGGAGACCGCTGGAAGAGATAATATTAAGAAGATTAGTAATTGAATTTGCACTAGTGGTGTAAAATGATATTCAATAATAGTAGCTAACTGGTTAATTCACACAACAAAACCTTTAATTTTTTGAAAGTTATATAAAATAAAGTTATAAAGTATACTATTTAATTATAAGCTTGCACTGATTCCAAACACTGCGTCATTCAGAATTCTCCTTCTCTCCTATTTTTCGCCAAATTAATTTATTACTAACCGAGACATATGACTGTAACTCTGGCAAAATTTCCCAATTTTTAGATCCCCATTTAATGCTGTTTTCTTCTCCCCACTTAAAATTCGAAAAAAATTCAAAATATTAATTTTGTCTATTCAAAATATTTTTTACAAGCAAAGCACTTAATTTTTCTGAACTGAAATTTCTTTATTATATTAAAACAATAAAATACATTACATCCAGTTTCGAAAATTAAGTAATACTTTTCTTGCATGAACTCAAAAAAACAATAAGTTACACTTTATACCCATCGTCCTAAAGCTCCTCCATCAAATTCAACATTTCTATGTCCATGTTGTGTCCAAAAGACAGGAACATCTTTCTCATGACATCTTTTAACAAGTGACTGCACATTTTTAATAATTTTGTTAGAACTACCACGAAAATGTACCTGTTAAAAAAAAGTTGAAGATTTGTATTACTGTACTGAAAGGTGATTTAATTTCAATTTATTTTTTTTTATAACCTGCCTGCATATCAATGACTAATAGAGCCGTTGTTTTGGGATTATAAGAAATAGACATGATTGATAGAACGATAGTATGGGAATTGTAGATTGTAAAATGTAATTTAATACATTCGGTGGTGATCTACAGTTTCAGCTTTTCATAACACAATTCTAGGAGTTTGTCAACAATGCAACTTTACAAGGATCACTGTTGTGTTTAGTCATTTTTGGGCTAAATTTTCGGAATATCCTGTTAGATGCAGGTAATTTCTTGTTAATATCGTGATCGCATGCATGAATTGCAATTAGTATTAGAGGTCAAGAGTACTGTAATTTCATAGTCAATGAACAAACCTAAAATTCGAGCGTGGTCGAGCAAAAATTTGGGAAATCTCGAAACAGAAAATTTGGTTTAAACGAAAAAGCAAAAAAAAATTTCTATCTAATAATACGTTCAAACCTTGTAATGTAAATTAAATTTGTCTGGCCTTAAAAGATCTGCAAGTTACAGCACATATAAAATTTGGTTTGTGAAAAAAAACACTTTACAACATAATTAGTATCCTTGTTATAACAAAAAATTTTGTTATTTCATATTTTTATACTATCTATGTTTATTTCGTTTTACGGCAAAAACTTTTAAAGTATCTTACTTTGAAAATGTTATTTTGAGACTATCGATGAATCAAACTCGAAATTTGATTAGTTGGCACTCACGTTATTTGCTACACGTTTAAATTATTTTTACCTATCTAGTTTATTGATTATATGAGTTCTAATAACCAATTTAAAGATCTAAACTGAATTCGCTTTCAAGATACGTTCGAACCCAATCTTTTTTTATTATATAATTTAATATAGTCTCTTGATAATGGCTAAATGGTATTTAACTTTCATTTAGAAAATGTAAAGAGGCTAATTTTCACTTTATTTTTATTTTCTAACTAAATATTATCTTATCATAGCTTCGAGATAAAATATAATTTTGATTTTTGAAGCCTTAATAGATTTTATTTTATATAATATATCATTTAAAATAGCACAAACAACAGTAATAAAAATAATTTTAATATTTATTATTTCAATATCCTTTTCTCCTTATACAATAATAAATAGAATGCTTCCAATTCAATAACTTGATTTAATAATCTAAATACAAATATAACAATAAGCAATAAATTTGGTTATTTATAAGTAAATCAAATATCACGTATCGCCGGGAATTTCAAAATCAAGAGTTCGACTTCCTAAAAGCATACATGTAAATATATTAAACTAAAGTTTGAATTCAAACTGAAAAATAAATATCATTACCTGCATTTACTATATTGGCAGATTTAAAAATTTTTAAAATTAATAAAATATTACTAACTTTTAAAAATACAAGTGTTATTACCTGGTTTAGGGAGTTTTGAAATATTCAAAAATCGACTTGTATAAATAGCTT